ACGTCTGGGAACTGACAATAAAAACAGATTAATTGAATTGAGTTTATTGTATGGCTGTTGAAGAGTTGTCGGAATCAGCGCTGCGGACGCACTGACAATATACAGGGTATAAAACAAATACATTATAACAATAAACCAAATGAAAAATGCAAATAAATTCATTTGAACAAAAATCAGTTGATATGAAAGCAATATTAAAAGCGGTACACAAGTGGTTAGAGTAGAAAAAATAAATTTTTGCCAAAATCTGTTAAAGTCTTGAATCGATGAACAGATCCGGTCGTGTTCTGCAAACACAATGTCTGTCACATCTGAACGCCATTTCTTCTTCTTATATGATATACGGGACGCACTTTTGACAAACAATTCATTCACTTCTTCCAGTCTTATCACTAAATAATAGCATAGAATTTGGAAATAATATGAATTCATACACGGAATGCCTATTATATAGAAGAACCAAATGGTGTGATTCAAGACCCAGAAGAAGCCATAAGTGGTTAGATATGAATATTTGCAATTAAAATAATAAAGACTAATCACTGTTGTTATTGATGTAAAATAAACTAAATAATTAATTAGTTTTGTAATTCTGGAGATAGTTTTCACACCTCTGTATAAATCTATAAACATTTTCCTCTTCCAAATACCCATCTGTGAGGGCGGTATCAGACCTTATGGACACACAATTTAATATAATTATTACATAAATAAAGTATTATTACATTAAACTCTTTAACAAACAATACCTCTGAGAGACGCGAAGATCTTTATCCATAGAAAGTCCTTTTCATTTGAAATTAAATAAATGAGCGACTGATACGAGGCGTTGATATTAATCACAATAAAGGGCACTAAGAAATAGGCTCTTCTGCCGCCAAACCATTGCGTGAAATCTCCCAAATGAACCAAATAGTGGTGACCATCAGGTAATGACAGACACAGAATGAGGCGAAATGTATTCACTATTAAATAAGTGGTGAGAATATAATTTATATAAAACTTTGAGCCATAAGTTCTGATATTATTTTGCGATAAATATCTCTTAAACGGTTCCGAAATGATAGTCATTTGTATTAAACCCCTTTCCAGTTGTGTCACATAGTTTTCATCAATTAACTCATTCATACATTCATCAAAATCATCGAAATTCTGAATTTGATTGTTATTCACAATTGAATCCATGTTTTTATTATTAGTCAACTATAC